GTCAGGGCCAGCGCCCCGCCCGGGGGGGCGGCGCGGCCGCAGCGGCCTTCCCCGGTGCGCGGCCGGGGACAGGAGGGCAGAGGCTGGCGACAAAGACGCAGGAGGAGGGGCGGCGCAGCGGGCAGGGGTGGGTTTCTCTCAGTAGCTAGATCGTCAGTTAGAGAGTTGATAACTGACAATAAATTCAATTGATTGACATGCCCCCAAAATCAGTGAACTGCTTTTGCCCACAGCTGTTGAATCCAATCTGACAATGGTAGTTATCTACCAAAATTCAGGCCTTGTAGTCTACTATACCGAAAAACTCAACATGAACATGAAAAAGGAGAGAATGGGGATTAAAAACACCCAGACTACCAAAAAGAGAACAATTAACACAAAAAAATAATGTAAATTCACAAGAAAGATGAATTTAGGATGTTTACCTCTGTGTGTCTGTAAGGGCTAATTTAGCACACAAGCTCCTAGTAATTATTAAGAATAAGTACTACCATTGTGTTGCTGTAACTATTAAACAACTGCACAAAAACTGCATTGTGTGATCTCTAGTACAATAACCCAATCATAATTTACTTGCCTAGAAGTCATCCAGTTTGGGACAAGACTGCATCTTTGAAGTTGGCTATACAAAGGTTGCTGCTTCTATGGATAATCCCTGCATACACAAATGTGTCCTGTTCAACATTCCCCAATAAAAGTAAGGCAGCTTCAGTGGGATGAAAGAGTCAGATGCAAATCACCCTGTAGTCATGCTTTTGGCACAGTCATAGGAAGGGAAAGAGAAGAGCTTGGAGCACAGTGGGGACTCACAGGCTTTTATTAATTCTCCTTAAAGGCCTAAAAATGCATACACCATAATCAAACTAAATTCCTCACCATTTTTACTCGTGTCCTTTTTCCTCTCTCATATAAGAAAAAAAAAAAGCAAATTCAATGCCTGCCAGTGCTGTAATACATCAGCAGCATCTATAAACAGTGAAGTAACAGTTTTAAAAGAAATCTTATTGATTACACATATTTTATAGAGAATATCCTAACAAGACACATACTCCATGTTTTGAGCCATGGCAAATATTTTTATTGTTGTTCTAAGACAGGAATCACAAGCAGCAATTTCTTTTTCCACTCACCAGATTCCAATATTCACGTTTTTAAGAGTGTCTGGGTATAGTTAAAAGTAAGTTTAAAGCACTTTGGGCAACTTTTTGGCACTTTGGGGTCTAAACCCCAATGCTTTAGACCATTTATGAACAAAAAAAGTTCACTGTAACCTCTATGGTTGCCTCAAAACCTAGTCAAAAGTCATACCAGTAACTTGAAACAAAGTTTAATTGTTTCATGTTTACAGAACATCAATACTGCAATCTAACAGTGATCATGACAGTATCAACCATTTCACTAAATGTTTGGTGTAGCAAAAGAAAAGTTAACACAGGATTTGTTGAAAAAACATTCACAGTTCACACTGTATCTCCATTCTTTATAATCAGTCCACTGTGACCATAGAAAGCTGTTTAAAATGTAGATATGCTGCAAAACAGTCTACTCTTCAACCTCTAGAACTGTGACAGCATTTGGCTGAACCTTTTTCTCATAAAAATAGGATAGAGATGTCTTTAGACTATAACTATGTTAGAATTATGGTAATTGCTCTAAAGTTGTTTTTAAAATAAGAGAATCCTACAGTAACTTCACAGCCCATATGTCAGTAAGATCAAAATTAAATTAATTAGAATTGATGGCTTGTAACTAAGTTTATTTTGTCTGACCATTTCACCACCCAGTAATTAGACTACAAAACTCTTTTACCTGAAATAATTGCTTCATACCACACAGTAAAAAAAAAAGCACATACTGAACAAAGCAAATCTGCACCTTAACAGGTAATTTTGGAGTTAATTAGCTCTGATATTTTCAAGAGGATTATTAAATCATTACTCCACTACTAGGACAACCATCTAGAAGCCTGAAAAGTTAAGAACTTGGCTGTACTCTGGTTTAAGGAGGCACCTATACCAAAACATTATTAACAAACACACAAAAAAAAAATTAAGGCCAGTATCCACATGTCAGTCTTTCATCAATATGGCTTTCTGTATCTCTTCTTAATTAGAACAAGAAGCAGTTCAATACTACCTTTTTTGTTGAGGCATAAGTTCAAAATTCTCTGTAACAGAAAAAACATTCTAGTAGATACCAGTATCTAAGTTCAACAGCTTCATAAAACACATTTTAAGTCCAGTTGGTGTCACTTGCTAGCAATTTGCCTTGAAGAAGGTTGTACAAAGTTAAATATTCTGAAGGGCATCTTCAAACATAACAAGACAGACCAAACTATTATCTATAGTGAATGAGTGCATAGCAGACAGGTATTTAAAACGCATCTAGAAAAGCGTACCAAAACATTTCTTTAAGCGCCGTCCAAAAAAGTGCACTAAGCCAAATTCTTTCTTTGTCTATCTATGCTATTTTGGCCTGAAATAGTTGAAATCCAGCTATGAGATGTGTAAACTATAAACTATATTTGACAAAAGATGTGGCCTGAATTTTCACTGAAACCCTTCCTTCTTTGTGTCTGTATGTTGTTGCTTCCTCTCCAGACATCTCTCTTTATCCATGAGACTTAATTTCATGGAGTAATGTATTTCAGGAAAGCAAAAACCAGATAAATAAAGTAAGATGTACCTGCTCATCTCTTTGTCTCCACTCCTGCCAATTTTCTTCCTGAGAGTCTTTCTGCTTTGCAGCATGTATATTTTGTTCATGCTGAGATAGACAGCCTCCACGTGAGGACTTCTGAGGAATCTTTTTAAAAGCAAGGTTTCTGAGCTGAAAAACAGTTATTTTTAAGATTAACCACAATTTTGAAAAGTATACAGAAACAGGGTTAATGGATTAGCAAAGGCATTCAGACACACGTGCTTTTAGACATGCATGTGCTTTACCTTACTCTGTAGTTTGGGATACATTTTTATTTATTCATTTATGGTAACACACCATAATGTATAATTATGGAAAACTATGGATCAGAAACACCACATCCACATAACATAAACCAATGAAAGGTATTACAGTGTACTCACTGCTGACCCAAATTAAATATAATGCCAAAGAAAAGATGGCATACACGGATTTGGCACACAGAGGAACTATAGGTTCAGGTAGAAAAAAAACAACGTATACAGTCCTTACAGTCTGTCAACAGTCTAAGGTTGGTCACAGTTTAAGAACCCGTAATAAGCATTATTTTTAATTGCTGCATCATATGGATACAACAGTGCCATCTTAAAAATACTTTGCATAATTATAAAATTTGATAGTGAATAAATAATCTGTCAACTTGGCAGCTCAAAGACATTCACTGCTCACACTTATGCATTAACTGACACTCTGGTCCTTACTTGTAATGAAAATAAAAGACACCAATACAATCTACTATCAGTTTAGAGACGGGGATTTCCTTATCATAAAGGCTCTCAGAAGGGAGAAAGAAGCTACTAACAGATGAAAGAGGAAACAAACTACAGTAACAATGTTCTCCTTACTGTGTGTTTATTGAGTTTCATGACTTCTTCCCCAAACAGCAGCTCATCTTAGCTTAAAGTTACTTAAAATCAGGCAATAATGCAGCTATTTCAGAAATGTTTTCCTTCCCCTCCAAACAGTCCCTTGCCATTCCATGTTGTGCTTGGCTACTGTCTCTCTTGCTGCCTGCCCCAGCACTACAACCCCTGCTTCCTTCTTCATATTACAGTGCTGACAAGAACACTAGTGCAGACCATTCTGGTGTATGATTTCAGTGAAATACAGACATAGGAACAGTACATGCTGGGGTGAAGAAAATGAGTCAGTCCTCACTGGCCTCCTTGCCATCAAGTATCATTTTCATGAAAATTAATTTCTGTAGATATATGCAATGCATATGTATACACACAATTATTTTTATAGTGTTAAAAGTTTTGATGGTGTTAAGGTGAGTATAAAGAAACATCGGGGCATGCTTACTGAAAACTTAATCTTCAATATAAAGAGAACAGCATCAAAGCTGAAAAAAAACCATTTTGCTTAGCACTACTGAAATGACTTCAGATTTTAAGTTTAATAGATACTAAAAGAAAAAAATGGGTTTGAGGGGTTTGTCTTACATACTAAAGTTGATATGAGAGCTGTACAATTTCAGGCAGAGAAATTATCTCAGACCAGTTGTTAGACACAGCAAACTAGAATTCCAGGTCCCAGAATCTTGGAACAGTTCCTTCAGTCTCACTTCTGAATTTGCACTTACGAGCTTTAAGAATCCCAATGTCAGAAAATTACCACTGATTTTCACTCTGCCCCCCAATTCACAGAGGGAGGAAAAAAAAAAAAAAAACAATCAAACAAAAAATGGCTCTGGATTCAATAGATTAAGGGACTAGACTAATGAATAAATCTGAAAATTACAATTTGTTAAAGCTCTTCAGACAGAGTAGGTAGGTCTAACTACCTCTTGAAAAGAAAAACCAAATCTTGAAAGCACATTTCAGTTTTAATATACTGGCTGTCCAAGAAGGCAACTAGACCTGGCTACCTACAAACCTCTGAAAACAAGTTGTTTCCTATGAATCACTTCTTAGAAAGGTCATACCTTTCATCAGAAATTAATTATTGAAGTGCTGTCAAAAAAGTAAAACCTAGCAATTTATTCTCATTAAAAGTTTTCAACTTCTGTAGTGAGAAGTATCCCACTTTTATATAAAAAATTCTTAATAAGGCAAAAAAAAAAAAAAAAAAAAGCAGTCTCTGTGACTAAGTAGCATTTGTTTCATAAAAAAAAACCAAAACAATGACTTTTCAGGGACAGCAGAAATTATTTATCAAGTAACAACTTTACCCAGTACTGAAAATATAACCCTTTACCTCATTGGCCTCACTCTGCTGCTGTTCTTTCTTTTTTCTCCTTTTCTTTCTTTTCTTTTCATTTGTAGATGATCTTCCCCCTGAAGCCTGAGATTTACTGGCACCTCGGCCACTTCCTCCTTTGCCAGGCTCCAATTCAGTATCACTTTCGACTTGTAGTAAAGCAAAACGAGATGCAGTGGTAGGAACTGAACCAATTACAGTAGATGTCAATGCCATATCTGAAATTCTACTGAGGTGGCTTCTTTTTACTTATTAGTTTTCCTAGGAAAGTAGCACAGAAATATGAATGAACATAATGATTGACCAAATAATCAGTAACTCCTAGCTGCAGGATCCTTCAAAACTCAGTATTATTTCTTTATATTTTTACTAAGTTGCATTAAGTATTGGAACAAGAACTACAAAAGGAAAGAATAATATATAAAACAACAATTATTTTAGGCCAATACATTTGTTCCCAAGTGATTATGTTTGATAGGAAAAAAAAATATTAGAAGGCTCTGAAAAAAGCTGGCCTTCATGATCTGGAGGGGAAAAAACAAAAACCCAGAAACACAGGAATAGTGTAGGGCTCCAAAACTGTTTCAGATGTCATCCCTGGAGTCCGACACATGGTTTCAGAAAGAAAGCAAGTAGGTATTATGGATATGCAGGCTCCAATTTTGGGTAAGCAGCCTTATTTCTTATTTTACAAGTAGTATCACTTTGATCCTAAGCCACTGGAAGTTCAGCAAGCAGTTTCCTCCACAGGGAGGTGAGCCAAGCATTGCAGCTGGTACTATTCTCAAGCATCAGGCTCACCTGTTCTTATAGCACAACACTGACAATATGTTGGGGGGAAGCAGAACTGGGAAACACACTTAAGCCTTCCACTGCACCCTATAGTTATAGACAACATGGATATTCCCATGATACTACTCCAAGGTACAGATGATTTCTTTAGTGTAAGTTAATTTTTTGTTATAAGAATATTTGGCTAATTGCAATTTTTCCATGCAAAGTTTAGTGAATTAAGATTCAAAGTGATGTTATTTCATCAGTGATTATAAATTTCATAGAAAAATTTAGCTATGTTGATGTGCTACAATAGAGAGGTGTTGTGAAATAATATATACTTTTTGAAAATTCTGTTTGGAAAGGAATCCTTACACTTTGACCACTGTGAACCTAAGATGTAGAATGCCTGCTTAGATAGTCTACAAATGTGCTGCTTGTTAACTACTATTAGAGAAGAACAAGAGAATCTACAGAAATTTCAAGAGGTAGTCTGGAATTTAGTGATAAAAACATTCTCAAGGACAAAACTGTACAGGTCCTCTAAAGATGCTCAGACATATCAACAAGGAAGGATGCTATGTTACCAATGTTCTGTTACCATTGTGACCATTACCCAAAATAATTATTGAAAAGTAGTATTACATTTTATTTCTCAGAGGTTAAATAGAATGAGCAAGTAAGCTAATACTGTCCTCATTCAAGTTTACCAAAAACAAAGGTCACAGTGAACACCACACTTCTCATATAAAGATTACCCTACACTATTTCTCTCAAGTTGATCACATGAAGCTCATTGCATCCCAAGAATTAAATGAACTTGACATCAAATTGTGAATCTACCTGATGCTGATATTCAGACTCTCTGATCAGACCACAACCACAGATCTAAAAAAACCCAAACATTATCAGTCACATCTAAAACACATTAAGTAATTAGTACTTGTTACACTCTTTAAATGATTAAATAATAGGGTAAGTTTGGATTTTCCTGGGTTTGTGCATATGGTTTTACATGCATTTTAATACTCAGTAACTATAGTTATCCTTCTTAGGAGCTTAGTTACAGCTCTTAACTTGAACATTCAGTAGGTTGAAACCTGAATATCAGAGAAAAGATTAGATACATCTTCACTAAAAAACAGCGCTAAAGGCAAGTGCTTAGCCATGCTAAGTTACATTACTGGATAGTACTCTTGGCACTATACCAGACTACAACAGTCTTAACACTGGAAGTTTGTAAACTCTCTACTGCATTTGGCTTTAAAAAAATAAAAATAAAAATCATGCACTAATTAGTACAGGATGATTCTAATCAGCCAAAAGCTTGGCATTTCTAGTCTCTATTTACTTACTGTGATACATTTGGGTTTTCATATAAATAGATAAACAGCACAACACAGTCTTTATTAACAACTGCTAATGGTGCCAAATATTTATTTTTGCCCATGGAGTTTGAAAACATTTCCTATCTTCAAGCTGCAGCGATAGCAGCTAGATCCTTCAGAAATACAATTTCAGAGAAAACATTATCAAGATGCAATCATTAGTCACTCTTTAACAAGAGATAAAGAAAAATTAAGAGGTTGGACTCAACCATAGCAGTTGAAGCTCTAAATGATAAATATGGGTGCAAACTCCTGTCTCCCTTTTCAACGAATACAACAGGTATACTTTTGCTGGCTGACTGTAGCTGGCATGCAATTAAGTGCCCAGCTGACAAGCTCATTAAGTGAGTACTACCCGCAGAATTCTCTGTTATAATTCACTGAAATACTTCAGTAACAACATGAAATTAATTTAGAGTTTTATTCCTGAATTACATTTGTTTCCACAGAACAGAACAAATGGATAGTAGTAAGATGGTAGAGGAAACTGCAAGAAAGATTATTCTTCAGTTCAATCTAAGAGAGCTGTTAACATGGCTAATTCAGTTATTAGGACATTTCAATACAGCTATTCATATTACAGCAGGATCTAAGCATTCCACTTCTGCAACACTTAAAGATGGATGGTGATTCAGCGAGGCCTATCACCATGCCATGCTTCACATTTTAATACCACACCTACAATTCTGGCAGACAAATTTTACCTAACACTTTAGTTCCAAGATTTGACTCCTCTTCCCATAGGAAAGCAATGGACTGATGTAAAAAGCTTTCAGCTAAGCATAGACACTTGCCATCCATTTGACAAGATTATTTTTTCCTTTAACAGAATTCTAAGTTGTGTTGTTCTTTATTATTAGAGATATGAACAGTCTTATGAAATTAAAGCACTGACATTCTTGAGCTTGTGGTTGTTCTCAAAGAGGCTTTTTGATCACATAAAAAAAGCATTAAAATACCACAAAATGTGTTGTAATTCCACAGATCAAACTAGGATCTGAAAAATCATTTCAATCTTTACAGTGGTTTCAGGAGTTTTGCAGTCTAAGAAATGTTACATATTCATAACAGTCAGCTGGCCAAACACTATCTAAATTCAAGACAATTCCTTTCCTTACGATATGGAGTACAGCAAAAATCTCTGAAAGGAGTAGAAGGAAGCTGTGCAGATGCTACAAGCACACTTTACTCATTTATTTCAAGTGAGACCGCAAGTTAAAGAAAGCCCAACATACTAACATCAGTACTTGGAGCTGTTTTTGTTGAAGGTTAATCTTTCAGAACAATGTAGCAATGCTGTGCTTAGGTCAGGAAAGATGTTCTTTGTATATGTCAAAGCCAACTGCATCCTTAATCAGAAGTACAAGTAGATACCCTTATTTGAGCCAGGACATCCCAGAGCAATTAGACCTTGAAGAGGATACATTGCTAACTTGGCAAGCAAAGGAAAGGCCCATGTACCCTTAGCTGAACTACCCTCATTATAATACTAAAACCCATGCCTGTAGGTCAAGACGACACTCGCCCAGGTGAAGACCCTTCCCCTGAGCATGCATAGTAGTAGTAGTAGTAGTGTGTCAGCAATATTGTAATTGTACGTAAATTACTAACCAATCGTCATAGAGAGGATAGACTTGGAAAATTACTCACTCTGCAAGTTTTGTGTATAAATATAGCATGAAAAGTCCCACTGGTGTGCTACCATTGAGCACCTAGCTTGAGCAACTCTAAAATAAATAAGCAGTATCTCTCCCGAGTGTGTGATGATTGACCTATTGCACACCAGGCAACAAATCCACTTTTCAGACATTTCCATGTGTGTCACATGTTAGCACTAGTCATATTCTCCTGAGAGGCCTTTCTCTAATGTACCAAGAAAGTTATTAACCCTCCATTTTTATGTTAATGAAATGATCACTGATAATGGATTTCAAAGTTGCAACATCACTATGGCATTCATACACAGGTGGCACCAATAACTGACCCAGTTTCAACACCACCTGCTTTGCAAATCACTAGCAGGCTATTACTTCAACTGTCTCTGCAATCTGTTTGAAGTATAGTCAGTGAGAAGGGTTCCTACAACTGACATACTATTCAGCTTGATATATTAACAACGTAAAATAGTCATGACACACCATATAATTTCAAGGCAACATAGAAGCATTTGTTATAGCTAGCAAGTAGTAATTTTTTTTGTGTGCTCTGCTCATTCCTCGGTCATACTCTTCTATAAATCATGTCAGCCTACATGAACAGATTACAGTGGAGTTTGGTACTAAATCAATAGATTATACCAAACTGGTCCCATTCACAGAACACATAATGTATTACTTCAGCATGTTCAATAGAGTGATTTGTAAACACAAAGGTCTTTGTAAACAAAGAGACATATTTAGAAAATTCAAATTGTGTCATAACTGAAAAGAGAAGGTATTTTTTAACTTTAGTTCCCTGAAGTGTACTAAGTATACTCAGAAACATATCCATCAATGCCCTAAAACACTTCAGTCTAATTTCAGACATGATGTAATAAAGTGCAGTAATAAAAGTAACACGCTTATCTGGTTTTACCATAACTTGAAATCTCTTTTGTATCAGTTACTTACATTTACCCACACATTGTGAGTAAAATGGCTTTGACACACTTGAGTTTTAAAAGCTCTATTGTAAACTGTCCAATACATATACTAAGAAGAATTTAGCGCGCATCCACAAGATCATTTTGAGCATCAGCAGCTTCCTGGACGGTGCGCAGCTCTGTGCATGTGCATGAGTTATCATTTCACTGCAAGCGCCTCTAAGAAATCAGCAGTACATCACAATTTAGGAACCTCTACTCTGATGCTAGTAGTACACCTTTAAACATCTGTGAAACAATCGTATCGCTTTAAGTGTGGCGCTTTATGATTTCAAGGAAAACATGCTGAAGGGCCCAAAAATAAAACCTGTTTGCTAGTTAACCACTATCATCAACAAATAAACCTCTAATATACAGGTGCAGGTTGTAGAAAACTTGAAAAATAGGGTATTACCATGCTAAAGCTTATTCCCACAATCTAATTGTCTCTACCACTAAAACACATATTTATGATAATCTACAATCAATATATGTTCTTAGCAAACACTTGAAGTATTGACTGACTTCAGTACTTGCTTGTAGAACTAACACTAAAATACACAACATACATTTGTAAGTGAAGTACGTCCACTCCCTACTGGCACCGATCCACCTTTGCACCTTTTGCACATCACATACTGCTCTTTGCATGTTCATGCATTTATGAGAGCAAGCTCGATCTACGTTTCCCTGTCGGTGCGCTTACAGGAAGTTTTGCACAGGAGGTCCTCTCAGTTGGACAAACTCCTTTAAAATTGTTTTATACCACCTGACAAAAAGCTATGAAGTTGCATTACACTGCTCTGAGTCCTTCAAATTACTTGAAGTCATCAGCTTGTCAATGAGTTTCACAAGACACTCCACAGACAAAAAACTCCAACCCAAAACACCACACCTGGTTCAGAAACCTTCAAGAGTTGGAGCACCGGCACAGACAGCAGCAGTAAACCCGTGGCAGGCAGAGCGCCTTATGGTTTGGAAGGGGAATGCGGGGAACGCACTGCAGGGCTTTGGAAAAAAAACCAGTATTTTTGAGGAAGAACGCTTTTAAAGGCTTTTTTAAAAACTCTGGCAAGTCTGACTTTGTCAGTCAGCATCCTATGCTCAAACTAATATAACCTCCCTTGCTTTTCTTCCCTTAACTTACCCCCCCCCCCAAAAAAAAAAAAAAAAAAAAAAAAAAAAAAAA